AAACCATGGTATTAACATAATGAAAATGTACTTGATCATTGCAACAATTCATAAACGCCGTAAGTGGCACGGATCAAGGGGGTTTCGCCCCTAAAAGATATAAACGTAAAAAGGGTACAGTTAATCTTCGCTTATCCTTGGGAAGCTCTGATAAAATTTTGTCCGTCTATTTAAGAATCACCCTGTATAATAGTAAAAAGTTTTCTTTACTTGGCAAAAACAACGTCTGGTGTATGTTTTGTAAGATTAATTGGTAATTTATGTACTCACAATGTATTATTATGGAAACAGGTTTTTAATCTGAAAAACAATCAAGTTTCAGTGTGAGGCGTATAACCACTTAGGGTTTTTGAAATTTACATGTTACGAGCATTTATGAATATTATAGTGACGCTTTGTGCATTCACGCTAACTCGCAATAATTATAACAAAAAGACGCACTGGTGAAAAGTTTTTATCAGGAATCGATAAACGAGCCGCCGCAATTAACATGTCGCCTTCATCAAGATCTAAAATGTCGCTATTTRGCTGCATTTGTGAATTTTTTGTTCTAAAATTTGAAAAAATGCAACTCACATCATTTCTAGACATTTTTAAATCCTAAATTAATACACATGTCGAAATTCGCTTCGGAAGCAATAAATATTCGCTATTGACACTGTAATCCTTCCAATGTCATGTTTTTGTCAACAAACGGCGCAACGCATTATTAAGTTARAAGTATTGGTTGATCAAATACAAAGTCTCGAAATAAACATGTAGGTGGGTATTAGGAATGGAAAGTGCAAAATCACCAATCGATTCCTTTTGTAAAAAAGAAATAATTCGAATCAAACCCCAAGACGAAAAAGTCTCTCCGGAGAGAACTTGAGTTCTTCTATTGAAAAAAAAAAAGAAAAAATGTTTTTGTGTTTGGAATATATACGATTTTAACGTTGCAAATGGTCCGCAAATGTTTGACGTAAATAAATGAAAAGTACGGTACAAGTTAACAAAAAGAATAATCCGCTTGAGTATTTCTCAAAGGACACGATATATCATAATCGGGTGAGATAAAGTTTAGTGTACTTACATTTCTAAAGTCTATAACTTGAGTAATTAAGGTCCCATCTGACCTTTGAAATTCTAAGCTGACTGTATCGTCGGTGACATTAGCGAAGATATTTTCTTGTACGACGTCACCACCCTGAAAAAGAAAAACATTAATTGCAAATAGAACACTACAAGTTGTGTCAAACTATCGATTAAGCAATATATAACGAGAAATCCCTTGCGAGAGTTAAAAACTTTGAAAAGTTTTTAGAGGCGCCAATTACCCCTAACACTTGTTTGATAGTGTTTCATTTTATCAAATAACAACTTCCTAAGTAGACTTTTATATTGCTTTAGCACATTATCTGCCCTGAGAGCTTACAACTACTGCAGTTCAACTTAGTAGACAAATTCGCCTCTAGTTTTAAATTTTTCTAGCGTCAATAGCCACTTAATCACAAAAGGGTTCAGTTTTCTATAATTTCCTACTTCGTTGGCATTCATCAGTCTCCCCCAAATACTATTATCAGTTTTCGGCGCCTGAAGCGGCAATAAATTTCCGCGAATTCGTCCCACGTCCGACCAAAATAAAAGAATCAGATAATTTGCAACAAATTGTAATGAACGCGGGCGAAATGTGCACACAGGGAAGAGAGGAAACGAGAACAAACTGTTCTAAATTACAGCCGGTCGACACGAGACCGCAAAATAATAGTTCAGTAACTAACAATTCGGTTTGTGCCAAAACTGTTGAGGGGACATCCGTCAGATACAAGAAATCAATAGCGATTGAAATTTAAAACAATTAACATCAACGCTTCGACAGCAAACACGAGTGTTGTAGGTTCGAGAATTTATTAATTCATTTTATTCCTGACTGTGCTRCGAACATCCAGAACTCTTTCTGTCATTTGACGCCATAATTGAACAAAGATGCCGACAAGATATAAATTCCTCTTTTAAATTTGATTAAACCGTAATTCAATTGGATTTATTTAAGCGCCGTGAACAAGACGAGAATTCTTGATTGGTTACAAATTCGAGCCGAAAAGACAAAAAGCTGCGTTATTGCATCAAACACAAATTAAAGGCCCGTCTTGGACTATGCCGACGGTAATTGTTTCATAATTTGTCGAACGTGCGATGGCTTTCGTCCGGCGCATCCACCAATTTAGTGTCTATAATGTTAAAATGCATTATCCAAAAGCACAATTGCGTGTATAGTGATAATAATGTACAAATTAAACACAAAATACAAATTATCTTTCATTCCTAGAAGGTAGATTTTAATCCCAGATAGTACAAATAGTAAATCCATTATATTACAATTAAGCAAATAGCTACAAACAATTTGTAAAATAGCGGAGATGTGTCTTATAGATCCCCACCACATTAACAAATAGAACCTACTTTATTTGCTCACGATATGCAATGTTGTAATAAAAGAAAACAAACATGAGTTAAATCGATTCAAAATATCTGAGACAGAATGTAATCTAGTTATTTCAGTTCAAAGATCGTGCAATGATATGACCAAAACGAGTTRACTGATTGTTAAAACCGCTGGTGATTGAAAATTTCAAAGAGGAACGATTCAAAGACTCATTGGTGGATGAGCGGATTCGGAAACAATCTGATTATTTCAGTTCATTTCTTTATGGAAACAGGTGAAAAGTTCCCCAGAATAATTTTACGCAATGATGTGTTTGCTTTGAGATCGGATTTAAATATTTTAGTGGATGCTTTTTCGCTGACGAAGTTCACACCTTCACAAGCGTGACCTCATTCAAGCACCGTGAAGCTTCTTTGCGCTAGTATCAAGCTTATATTTTCATAGATTCTGAGCAAATACCGAAATGTGCTTATCCACGTCGTGCTTCATATTTGCATTGCATTACCAGAGTGAATAATGCAAAACCAATTTTTTTTGAATTAAAACGCTATCACTAACTCCTCTTTCATCAAACATCTCAATTTTTTGCCCAAGCTGTCTGTGTTGTAATTTTTRGASATATKTTTCTCTTTACGCTCCACTTCCATCATCGCACAGAATGCGGAAATTAAACACGTTCTGACAGGAGATATTTTAAATATTTTTGGAACCGTTTCGATGCTTCCATCAGTCAGTCAGCTTTGTTTCTTATGGCTTATGTCGTCGCCACAAATCGATTTTGAATTGGGGTTGTTATTCGTTGTCGCTTGTGTCTTCGTCGCACGTTGCCTGTTTCTTGATAAAGACTCTCTAGTTTGCGTACAATGGCTTCAAAGACGTCGTGCCAAACCCAAACATTTCGTCTCGTGATAAGTGGCTTTGRGCCATCGGGGCAAGTAAATTAATCTCATTCGATTAATTGAGGATGATGAAAAACACCCGACCGATGGAGGAAAAAATAGTTGAGTAAATTGAATTATTCACCACTGGAAGCGGATGTTCCAAAGCGGTAAAAAAGAGAAAAACAGGATGTTTATTACAATTGAATGAAATATTTTTTTTTATTTGKTTTAAGTATATTGTTTCAAGTAAATTATTCAAAAATACGCAGTGAAAAAATTTGGAAACAACAGTTCAAACAAAATCAATATCCTAGCAACTTGTTATAGGTAAAATAACATCAAACAAAAATAAAAGCCGCAATTTCTGCAAACTTTCTCAAGCGGTATGAAACCTGTTCATCTCATTAAAATYTGGATACTGTGCTGTGTAGGAAATTTTTTTTCCAGTTTTTTACAAAATAAAATAATTTCAAGAAACGTAAACCTACGTACTTTTTATATAAATAATAAAAGCAAATAATGAAGACAAACAAGTCTTTTATCAGTTATTTCCTTTCATTATTTATTAATGCAATATGTAATATTTTTAAGTATAAGTAAAATCCCATCACCGAAATTTATCATAAAAAGCATATAATAGAAATTCTGATAAAAGATTCTTATAATTAAAAAATATATGACAACGAAAAAAAAAATAATAAAAAAATTCATTACAATATCGTCTTTTCTTCTAAGTAATTTAGAAGCTTAATAGATTGCTACAATAATTAACTTTTTTCTATAGCAGATGTTAAAGTGTGCTTTTACCTATTCAATTCAAGAGATAAAGTAACATTTTAACCGCAAGGGTAGATAAAGTAATTCTTTAATAGCAAGGGTAAATAACAGTATATTATTTAACGAGCATATAAATGAAGTTTAAAAAACGAATCGTACACGTGTTTTTTAATCACCTGAGTGAATAATAGCCATTGTATGCAAGTAGAATACTATACTTCATCAACGACTATGAAATATTTTCAATTTTTGGTATTGACAAAGCTGACCTTTTAATTTTTTTAATAAAAATGTCAAATTGCGTTCAATCAGTAGGGCGAAGCCGGAGAGCTATAAAGAACCAAAAAAATAGAAGTAARAGCAATTCTCTTCGGGAGTGTAGGTATATACTATTTTATGCACGACTTGAGTTAAAAAAACAAGATTTTGACAGTAATTGTTTAAGAAAATTTAAAAATTAGCTTAAAYCTAGCATTCTTTACACCATAGCCAATACAATAAAASTGTTTGTTGACGATGAGCCAATCAATGAATGGCAATGACTCAGTAACGAAAGCAAATATTTGCTCCTGTCGTTATGCTCATTTCTCTCCATAGGGAGAGAATCTTGARTTCTGAGATGTTGAGATGTAAACCTGATAACAGATTAATTACTATAATATTTTTTATTTAGTTTTAATTGTACACCTTTTATAAATTTTATTTTGACGTGTTCTATAATTAATTGGTCTATAGTATGAATAAAGTATATATTTCAACTTTCCATAGTGCAAAAAGTAATTTATTCAAACCTTACACGATAAGTAAAATCGGGGTCAATTCACAGTGGCCATTTAATTTATTGCAAAGTTGGCAGCCCCTACCCCCTAGCCCGCCAGCTCTAGTGTCTGAGTTGTGTCTATGTTGGTAGCTGAAYTAACTAAATTGTGTTTACTATTGTGACATGCGCAATAGGTTTTATATGTGAAGTATTCTAACCCGACTTTTTCAGAATTGTCATTTTTGATACATACCTCCCCACAAAAACAAATGGATGTTTAAAGTCGGATTTACACAACTCTGTTTTGACAAATTTACACAGGGAAATGGACACGATGAATTGACCGCGACTTTACTTAATKCTTTTTCCATTTTTTTTTATAATTAAATATACAAATGCTACAAAATAATAAAATATTATACACGACAATAAAATTTAATTATCTCAACCGTATTATTAGCGTAATTAGCTCCGCTATTCAGTAAATTCCACAAAAATCAATAAAGATTCAAACCGTGGTGGCATGAATGATTCAAGAATGGGCAGTACATGCAAATTTGTATTTTAATTGGCACTTTCTATCTCCAGTGATTTTAATAGTTGTACAGAAATTTTAAGAGTTGATAGAAAATGKGAAAATAATTCAATTTGTCTTATCCTCTAAAATCTAGAGAGTTTGAGTAGCCAAATAATTTTAAATTTAGCAAACAATCTTAAACTTCAGCAACAAAAATTATAAACAAATATGATCTCTAAGGTTAGTTCTTCAAAATCTGTTAGATTGTTATAAAAAAATGAATTAAAATCTCTACACAACTTAAAATCACCATGTATTTGAAAAACCACTGCTCATAAAGACTAAAGTTTTTTGCTAGAACCTCTTTCCCTTGCCAACAAAGACATATATTTATTAGGGTAGTGGTAAGCTTTTTCGTAAGACCTTTTTCGTTGAGTATCTTATTTGGCGTCGTTATAGCAATTTTTCGAGTAAAGCCCTCTAGTCGCTGGTTTTTGTTCGAGTAGTTCACCTAATACGCAAAACTAATTAACGTAATACCTCACGACTGTCTTTTTAGCCGAACCACAATTCCACATTATTGTACAAAGGTGGCAGAAACATGCCAGTCCGTCTACAACTAAACAACTCAATTAAATTCCAGCCGGCTTAGCCTTTTGATATGTATGTATGTTAATAATTTCATGGCGCTTAAGTTTGTTTTGGGTCCAAACCATTATCGCAATTCGTTGGTTCGCATTAATTTCGTTTCATTACGCAGATATCTGACCCATCTGCACCGCAATTTTCTAGTCTGTTGTGCCGAGCGAAGCGAAGAGATCACTTA